CTAATTAAATTTGTTACGTTTTACGTAGTTCCAAAAAAATATACATACATATAAATCAGAAATAGGAGAGTTTGTAGTTCGAAAATAAGATATTAGTTTATTTCACGCCTGAAATACATTTTGTGACAGATGAATAATAAAAACTGCTTCCATAATTTACTTTCTATTAGCGAGGTGTACGAGTATTAAGTTTCAGGATTATATCAAATATCCTAATCATAAATACAATACAATGAAACACGGTACTATAATTCCTTTGCTGCGAGGCTTTCGATTCGTATTAAAATAATAATAATATGAAAAAATATATAAATGACATTAATTTATAGGTTCAATCAAGTCCAATAAATTTTTGAGGTTGCTTATCAATTAATTATTTTTATTGAGTCAATAATTACAAGTATATTGGTACAGAAGTTTAGGATGTTAACTGTAGCTAAACTAATATTTTAAATCAAAGAAAATTTATATTACATACTTCATATTTATGAACTTCTTTTAATATTCGTTAATTTATAAAAAAAAATATAATAAGAGTATTGGAAGGACTTAATTTTTAGTTTATTTTATATAATTAAGGCTTTTGACGTTAATATTGTGAAGATTTTAATATGATTTTAGAATTACTTGGACCGGTGAAAAATTTACTTGAATTTTAATGTAAGTTTGTAAGTAAAATGTAATAGAGTAGTCGAATAAAAATATTTCAGAGTTACTTTAAAGTTCTGCTTCTAAAGACACTTGAGTTCGTTGTTGTGGATGAAAGAAGTAACGTTAATAATGTTATGTAAATTGAAGACCAAATCAAATCTCATTGTTAAATTAAATAACATATTTTAATAAATATATATATTTTTTTACAAATTAGGCTACTTTCGTTTTGTAATTTTGCTCATTGCTTTGAATTTATTTTATCACTAAACCAAAACGTCCTTTAAGGCTATATTATGAGATATAATATTTTTATATAAAGATGGTTTATTCCATATTGTAAACTCAATGTAAGTTACAATTCTATTGTAAAATACGTAAAAGAAAAAACTAAGCTAATAGCAAATTATTTGTATTTAAATAGTTTGTTAGTATTTTTACCTAATATATGTAATTGTTTTAAAGTAAAATCACTGATGTTTTCTAATGTAAATAGATTCATACAATTATGTCTATGTGTCATCAGTGCCTGCGTCAGTGAGATTCATCAATCACACTCGTCCACTTGAGGGATAATATATGTTTACATAAAATGTAATTAACAAACGTTTTCCAAATTGATTGGTGATTATTAAATAAACTAAAAAGAATCTTCTCTTCGGATTTCTCTTAATACAAAAGCTTACAATATAAATGAACTATCAAAATTGATAAAAAATTACATGTAATCATTCATTCCTGTACAAGAAAAATTAACATCAAACAAAGATAAATTTCATTGTATTTAGGATATATGAAGTTTACGAAAAATGTTACAATGAATTTATATAATACTTAATATGTTGTCAGAAACGATTGTTGGTCGCGTCACGTAGAGTATCAATAAACACGGAACTGATATTAATCATAATATTATTGGCAAGTAATATAATAACATATATAAAAGTATAAGTGTAGATGGAAAAAATATTGGCTTTATTGACTAATTATTTTAGTAGACAGAGTTTCGTTATTTTATGAGTTATGATGTATGAAAAAATATTCAATTCTAGAACTTCTTCTATTTGATATTATTATGCATAAGTTTATATAATCCTGAATGAAATGAAGATTCTAAAATAATATTCTCTCATTATATGAGCTATTGTTATGTAAAATATAACAAAATATATTTCTGTTGCAAGCTTGTATAATTTTATTTTATAAACACTTGAAAAGTGCAATGTTTTTAAATCCCTTATCTAATGCCACACTTTTGTTTTCTCAGCAGCTTTATCTCTGTTAACAGACGAATGGGTTCCATGAAGTAGAAAACATGTAAAAATAACGAAATCGATTTGCCACATACTTTTAATCTTTCAACCTTATTTGTGATTTGGAAACATTGTTTTGCATAATTATATTTATTTAGGAACTACACTAACAAGTTGTATACGGTATAGTATGTATTGTATGGCAAATATAAGCATAAGGTCAAAAATTATATGTTAGTTATACTTAACTAAGGAGAAATATTAATAAATCAAATGTACGTAAATACGTCATCGAAACATAAAACACTATTTTAATGGACAATTACTCAGACCCATTAAACCATACATTAACCCTATTACATTATTTGACACTTTCGCTGTTGTATTTTCGCTCTCAGATTTGGGGGTTCGTGATCCATTGCCGTCTTAGTTTACAACAAGAAAACTTGCTTCTCATAAAACGATCAATCTACTACAAATACAATTCCAGTCACTTATATGTTGTACTTTGATTGTTTCAAATTCGACATGGAGTCGTAAAGAAAACGTCGTAAATGTCTCGGCTTGATGCCAGAATTTAATAAGCTTGAATTAATTGTTGCCAACAAATAATATATTACGTAAAACATCTTTATATATTTACAATATACGTGATCGGTTTCAAAATATATTTATTTTACAAAGTAGTTGTAAGTGACTTACAAAAAGTTATTAACCCATAACATCGCTAGCTGACGGCTATTTCCTATTTATAGAGTGTGCATTGAAGCGACAACTCCTGCATCGATCTGGCGAGAACAAGCCGCTAGCAGCCTCTAGGAAGAACATTCACGCTATTTATATTAAATAATTAATTTACAACTGTGATGACATAATATATCACAAAGATATAAATTTAAACCTTAACAAAATATTGAGATTTATGTTTAAAATACATGTTCAAACGCGGTCAACATCTATTCATGTTTCGATTTGAATCCTTACCCAAAAGTTACGTCAATTTTGAATACACATCAAAGGTAAAATATTCAAAAGGTAGTCGGTTTGACAAAAATAAGTTCGTTTTGATTTCGCACTCATTACGAAAATACGAATGGGTGGCTAAAACTAGAAGGGAGGTAATAAATAGGTTTTACAAAATCATATTAAATAATTTATCTTATTGTTATAGTCCCCATAAAATCTATCTAATAACCAGGTTCAGTTGATTAAATTTATTGAATATTGTTTCAATTTAAGTTTTTTATTCCATACGTATCTTAGATTTTCTTTAAAGATATAAAAGATTTCCTCGTAATTATAGTAACAGCTTCTCAGACATAATAATTTCTATTATTACCTATGTATCAATAAGCACACACCAAAATTCACATACGCGCACAAACCAGTGCTTTCATAATTACAGTCAAATTGATAAAATAGGATTAATTATGCAACTTTTAAGTCAAAATAATAAAAGACTTTTATTTTTTAAACGGTTTTTTTCTCATTTAATAATATTCCCACTCCGAGGAAACCGAAGAAATATTATACATCACTTTATTTCATAGTCCTTTAATAAGATAACTAAAAAGCGCCATCACGCTTATTACCTTAACGTTATAATATCATATAAAAGTTGACATCTTGAAAAATTGATTCGCGTGAGCTTTGTACTAAGCAGGAGTCAGGAGCTGTCTCTTAAAGGGGATGCCACTTGAAATATCACTTGTATACGAGTTTTCATTAAGAAATGTAGTTTATTTTTTAATTTGAAATATAAAAAACTGTTGTCAACTGAGTTTTGTTTTGAAATCTCTTAATGAAAATATGTGCATGCCAACTTTTAACATATTTTTGAAGTTATACTTCTATTGTCGCGATGGAGAAAATTGATGAGAGTGAATTTTTAAATATAATTTATAAGAATAAAGGTTGGGTATTCTGTTATTATGAAGTATTAAATATTATAATGCCTATTATTGTTTGTCAAGTAACCTGAATATATTGAAATACTGTGTAAAAGAATACTTTGATATATTTACACTTTCCAAAGAAGACGTAACAAAAACAGTTGCCACTTACTTACACAAACAGTATTAGTAGCTGAAAATAAGTAGTTATATCTATAGCTATTACTAATATACATTCTCCATAAAAGAAATAATCTTATATTAAAAATTCGTATACTTTTTCAATTATATTTGTATTTTAATTTATATAATTCAATAAAATATTGTAAGCTTATCTAATAGAATAAAGATTTTAATTAGAGAATTTAAATTTGATTGCGGAATCCTCTCTCAACTGAAGGGCAACGTTGATTTGATATCTTAACAAATTAATGGTATCCGGTGAGCCAGCGAACCGTCAAATACTAAATAATGGGATTCAGTTTAATCTTAATAATTAACCTTAAATTTTCATAGTCTGAGAGTGATTCGTTAATAAAACAATGCAGCCCACACGTTTTCTGATATAACAAATACAAATATAACTATTAATTTTATATAATACATTTACTATAGCATCTTATATAAATTTCAAATTATCGAGTGTCATACGCAAAGTTGTAAATGCAATATCCAGATAATGTGCCATCATGTATATAATAATATTGGCTCGGAGAGAGCTTTGAGAGTAGTAAATGCACTTGGTGCACCCGAAGTACTTTCCGATACAATAAATGTTTGTAGTAACTACAATTTTCACGTCATTTCAAACGCAAATGAAGCATCTTTTGTATTAAACGTTACATTACAATTTTAAAGATACGTATTGTTCTTAAAATTATATGGTACAACTTTCCACCCCTAGTTAGAGATATGATCGCGTCGTATTACTCAAAATTAAGGTTTTCTATAATAACTAAAGAAGGCCCTTCAAAAAGTTTGAGTTATAATGTAGGACTGTTTCAAGGTTGTTGTCTATCTCCAATTGCGTTTAATATCGTAATTAACATCTTAGTAGACAAATTAATCTTAATCTGTAACGAGAGAAAAAATGGTAACGAGAAAAAATCGGTTATCGGTTTAATAATAAATACACGGAATCCATTTTAGCCTTCGCTGACGATCTCGCAATACTGACACGTAACCCAAACACTGTCAGGTACTATTGGATGAAGTGGATAAATTCTGTGAGTGGACGGATGGATTGAGGACAAAACCCAGTAAATGTCACTGTCTGTGTCTTGGTAGGCGGAATACAAGATACACCTCATACGATCCGGGACTATCGTTAGGCGGTCAATGCATTTCTACGGTTACGGAAAATGCACCATTTAAATTTCTCGGTCGTAAGATAGATAATATAGGCCGTACTCCATCTTTAGAAGGAATAGTAGATAGCTTTTTGAACGATCTTGACAAGGTAGATAGCCAACTGATAAGTAACGTCAAAAAAGCGTGGATCTACGAGAATTACTAACTTCACGTTTGAATTGGCCTTTCCTCGTCTATGATTTTAATAAAACCCTTTTGTCAAAGTTAGATGCAGGCGTCATAAAGATGTTGAAGTTGTGGCTCGGGCTCGCTCTAACGGCTGATTCATCGGCGTTATTTAGGGGAAGCAATAGTTTTTGGGATGAGTCTAAAAAGGCCATCGGAGCTCTATAAACACCTAAGAGTTTCCAAGAGATATATCCTGGGGAAATCCCATGATGACATAGTGACATCGCTCCCAAAAGATGAAGATGCCCCCGAGCTAGAGTCACGACTTCAATTCCATAAGCAATTTATGATAGGAGCGCAAAGTAACAGAGCGGGGTTAGGATCAAATAGGAAAGTCCAAGATGCGGATATATTGAAGTCTTTTATTCGGCAAGACGAGAATGATAAATATAAGATCCATGCAATGAATTTAGAAATGCAGAACGAGTGGCTAGACATAGGAGATTTTTGCATCCCATTAGCATTAAAATGGCGCACTTTAATTTATGATTGGTCGCCAGCATTGCTAAAATTCTATCTCAATGCGTTCCAGATGACTCTCCCAGATCAGAGTAATTTAGTAAGATGGGGTAAAAGTACCGAAAAAACTTGCTATATCTGTGGAAAGGCAGTTGGAACTGCTAAGCATCTCTGCTGGTGGGATGTAAGGTACTCCTTGACAGCGGTCAATACTCGCGTCGTCACGATAGGGTTTTTTAGAAGTCATACGTGAAGCGGTTAGTCTTTCGGTAGCCAGAGCGCAAAAGGGAATAACCACAAACGAACGATCAGTAGGTTTTGTGAGAGAAGGCACTAGGGCTACAAAATCAAACGTCAAGCCTTACTCCATCCTTAAAGCGGCGTCGGATTGGACTATAATGATGGACACGTATGAAAAACAATATAAAATCCCCGAGGATATTTGTGCGTCGGCCTCCAGACCGGATATATTTTTGTTTTCGCGAATTTTAAAGCGCGTAGTGATGATAGAGCTTACGGTCCCTTGGGAAACCAACATCCCCAAAGACCATACCATCAAGGTCAACAAATATTACGAGCTCACAAACGAACTCACTCGAAATAGGTTCGTAGTAGATTTGTACGCGGTAGAGGTGGGAGCGAGAGGTATAACAGCGAAATCTCTCTATAACCTACTAAAGGACTTGGGCTTGTCCAGAACTCACATTAATGCATTCTTGGAACGTATATCGAAGGCAGCCCTAGTAGGTTCTTTTCAAATTTGGTTGGACAGTGGAGGTGATCGTATAACGCGCGTTAGTTAAGGGGCCCCTTAAACCTACACTTGGGTCGCAAGTCCCAGGCACTGTTGAAGCTCCTCTCCCTGCAACGCGATGGACCCGGCACCCGCACGGTGAATCCATGGAATGCTGAGTAGTTTCGTCTGTCATAAAGTTGTGTAGATATGTTTGTAAGGATATATGGATGACCAAACTCTACAGTAATATAGTTTAAACATCAGAATTAGGCAAAGGCTACAATTTAAAGAAATATTTCGTGTAGTTAGGGTTGGATCAAAACATAACTGTATCTTTGTTCTAAATTTGCATCGTCAGACTATATAAACGTTGAATATTCTCATTTAATAATTTACATACATAGTACATATAATGTGAGCAGATATATGAATGAGAAACTGTTAATGCCGCTTTTGTATTGTGCCGACGGGAACTTAGACTAAACATGCAGTTGTATTGTGTATGGAGTTAAGTGAGATAGTAGATCTTACACCCGATTTGCTGCTACCTATTATGTCTTAACATATTTTATTCATTTTTCTCTGAATCTAATACCTTATCTCTAAAATACACACACCATTATTCATTCTGTTTTACTAAATTTCTAATGAAAGCTACAACAACGTCATTTTCTACTTCCATTGATTCCATAAGGTGCTATAACTAATTACATATTTTAAATAATTGTGCAATGGGTCCTACTGTACTGTATAAGGTACGTATTCAATGAAATGTGAGTAGTTTAAATATAACATTTTGATCAAGTATTTACTGTATAATATAGTAAAATTATGATAACCATTTAAACAGGATTCAAATTAATGTCTTTATCGATTTACATAAATAAGTTTTCAACGTTGTTTGTTTTATTATAACACAATCATATCAGCATTTAACAAAATAATTGAAATAGATGGGATATGATGAGTAGATTTAACAAGGGATAGCGTGAAAATTTATTAATTAGTTTGTTAGAACTTTTACATTACGATTATTCCATTCCTACGGTTAATTCAAACAAAAAGTGATTTTACTTTCTTACCTAATATCAACACTTCAAGACGCTTTTATTTCTGTTTTTATGGTTTGACGTCATTACGAGATTTTGTCAATACTAATACAGTCATGTTTTTTTTTACCTTGACTTTTCTCCGCCTTTGGGTAAGTAAGACAATAAACATTCAATTCATAATGTGAATATGTCTGAGCTTCTTACAATTCGACTCGAATGTTATTTTAAACGAAATCCTTGTTAAAGTTTAACGCTCTTAAAATAATCATTATACTAAAGAGTTAAGCTATCATTCAAAATATCCGTTTTATCGTTTGGATATAAAGCCTTTTATGGCCATGTTTAATGAATAACACTGAATTTATACTATGCTTGTGTTATCTTCAGAGCTGTGAGTGTAAAACATAAATGTTCCGTGTCATTATATGTGTTTTTCTATAACGGCGTTTTCCATTTTTCTCATACAAGATTTCTAGACTCAGCGTATGTTCTAAGACTTAGAAAATAACACTGACGTGAAAATTTTTATAGTTAAAAAACATATTAAAAATGCATAAAAGTTGATCCGTTTCCATATTTGTTTTTGATATAAAATAGCACAGAAAGCCATTTTACAGCCACTTTGAGAAACCTCGCTAAGTTAGGCTTTTACGAGATTTATTAGAAATAATGTATTATTTATTTTATTCAAATATTCACAGATAAGACGGCGGTCATGTTCACAAACATCCGAGCATTGGCCTGAATAACATTTTTCCTACTCAATGAACTACTACATATAAACATTACATTTGCCATTCATGTTTTTATAGCTTATTAATAATTAGATATCTTAGTTGCGCAATAGCAATTCTATTTGAAGCGAGTATTCATTTCATCTCCAGTTACAATGTGTTTCAAAAAATTTGTGTTATTTTTTACGGGGAAATAAATAAACGTGGCAACGCTCAACGACCCACTTCTGTATTTGCATGTTCTCGTATTTTCGGCAATCACTTATGAGTCTACATTGAGGTGATGAAATAATGATTCTATTAGATTCTAAACAGCCTACTCTTGAAAATTTTTTTTATATTCGTAGACTATGTTTGCCTACACGGTTTTTGATCACTTTAAATATAGTTCTATTTTAACTTAAACAAGTAATGCTAGTAAAAAAAACTGGTTATCAAGGATCATCAAAACATATTGTACTCTTATTTCCCTTCTATATGAACTTTTTTATCGTACATATGTTAGCGAAAAAATGTTTGACGTTTATGAAACTCTGTAGGTAATAATGATTCCACCATAAATATAATATCAATGAGTAAAATAGGGAATTAATAACAAAACATTGTTTTTTTTAAATATTTAATACAAATCAAAATATACACAAGCTTGAACAAGACAAAACAACTGCATCAAAACAAATAAAGAGCGTTAGCGTTCTATAAAATATAAATTTTTATAATTAACTTTTAACAAACACATAAACGTACTCAATACGAGACTTTTGGAACACAGGAACGTCAACACAAGTACATATAAAAAATATAGTATAAATTGGTTAACATAATATAGAATTTGTACACAACGTGTATACATTGTACACAATCCCTCTATGACCACGAATGAGGTCCAAAATATATTGATTCTATGCACTTTAATAAGGCACTGTTACTGGTACAACTTAGAGATAAAACAATGTCCATAACAATAGTAATAGAGAAATTATTTTAATATAAAATAATACATACATGGAAAAAACTGGGAGTTTGTTTGTACTCTTCATAGTGTACAGAATGAAAAAAATATATATAAAAAAAATCTTAAATAACTCAGTTCGTTATAATATTGTGCATTGTAGTTGGTAACATAATTCTCAGTCAATAGATTCATATTAATAATGTTAAGAGTAAAAAAAAATTGTCAAGTGCTTTAAAACAAATTCATGTACAGATAATTTATATCTTTCAATACATAGACAAAAAACAAGGATATATTAGTTAATACAAAAAGTAATTATAGTTTAAATAATCCTTAAATGCGCCTCATTATATAGCATCATGAAGAAATAAGAAGCCTGTATGAGTACATGAGAAGGCTTCCATAGATTATACGACATTTGAAAAATTTGAACATTTATATAGCAATTGAAGCTAAGCTTACAACTAAGCTTACAAATCAATCACACATATAAAAATGGAAATATTTTTTAATAATAAACATGTCCGTTGAATAATAAAAAAATATACTTCATTACAAGGTAAGAAAAGTAGAAAGTCCATTATATAACGCGACACAGCAGTTAGCGTATACCATCAGGAGTTATGTGATGCAGATTGCAGTGATAGGCGAAAGTAAATAACGCGGTGCGAAAATCGAATATAAGTAGAAAGAATTCCGCCAGCCATTCGTTTGGTGAGATTCTTTCTACTACCTCATGTCAACGGGACTGCATCAAACGCTCGCACTGCGCTAGAAGATATTTCTTTTGTTGTTCGTCGTATAGGAATATTATTTTCCCTGTACCAGAAGTTGGAAACATTCCGAGCACTTTCTTCTTGGCTGTCGGTATAAACACTCCTTTGGGCACGGCTGACGGCAATTCTGGGATTTCTGGCCACAGATAGGACCATACGATCTGAAAATTAAATTATTGCTTAATTTAATCACATTAATAGCAATTTTAAATATTGTTATGTGAAATTTAATTTTTGTAATGAGACTAGCATATTTTTAATACGTATGTATATGTAAATCAGTTAAGAAATATCTATAGGTATAAATGTGACAAGCTTCAGTATAAAAACATAACGTGAAGATAAATTAATATTTTCAAATGTAACGAAACCTTCAATATTATGTTTTTAATGTCATTCCTTTGTCAGTCATTCGCAAAACAAAAACTTTTAATCTTTATACGGCATAAGAAGTTTAATATCGTAAAACACTGAAGTTATGTAAAATAACATTTTATATTTATAATAATATTCTCGTACTAATAGATAACAAAAGACGTAGTAAAAACATTTAATATAGTATAATTTTGAATAACATGCACATGTACCCAAAAACCCCAAAATATTTATTCAAACTCATAGTACGACTGTGACCTACTTTTCATTCAATGTTTGTCCCAACCTGTTTGTACGCGTATTATTTTGTTTTAATTAGCTGAGGTTTTAACGAATTAAAAACATTACTCCTTGTTTTTGGGTATTTTTTAATGAAACGTTTTTAGTTTAGACCAATGTGCGTAGTAAGTAATTTAATCTTATCCTTTTCATCTTCTTTAATATTTCGAAAAAATATCATAATAGTGTAATACAAGATATATATGTATATAATAATACATTATGTATACAAACCTGCCATCCTCCGAACACATTGTTCTTCTCGAGGTATATAAGTCTCTTGTCGGTACACATCACCACCTCCTTGGCCGGTATAACCCACACGTGAGCTTCGTATGTATCCGTTGTAACGAATTTGCCCTGCAACAAATATGTTTGATAATAACACGTCATTTATAATATATATTGACAAAATACACGTAATTCAAATTCTTTAACCATTCTGAAAATAATATGCTCTTATATTAATCCAGTTTTTGTCACATTTATTCACCTAGTCCCTTGTTATGCATCTAGCATGTAATGCAATTATTTTATACCAAACTTCAAAGATGATTTAAATCACTATAAGTCCAGTTATAAAGTAAGAAGTTTCTATACTTTCGGCAATTACGAGAATAGTATTTAAGTATCGTACTATAATTGATATAGTGAAAGGTACAGTACCTTTTCCAGTTCGGACAACATCTTGTACCCTTCAGCTTGTAGTCTTGAGTACGGCCTTAAACCGGCTTCTGCCACCAGGTAGCGCGCTGCACGACGCTTTGTCACTTCTTCTGATAAATCCGCCGCTCTATAACATATGTATATACATATATAGTCAATGAACAATAATCAAGAGTATGCATTGAATACACGGCATGCAATGTATAAGTTGTTTTACAAGCTTATGGTTC